TTGGCTTGATAATGCACTTTGATTCATTGACAGATGAATATGAGATTATTTTGAGATAATCTAATGAGATTGGCCTTGGGGCTGGGGGTTGGCCATCGGGGAATACCATGACTCCTACTAGGTATATTGGAATTTTCCTGCTAATGAATGAAATTTTGTGGCTCTAAAGTGACAAAATTTCCTATTCATTTTGAAACTGAAATCTTCAATCTTGCATCCCCATATCCCATTGACCCATTTAGCATTCATGATTCCATTGTGCAGTGTGGCTGGAAAGCCAGGAATGTGCATTGCATCTAAATAGTACATACCATCAAACGGAGTAATAAGCCATAAGGGACGGTTTTGAGCATTTTTTGTTGATAACTTCTTACCATGAAACATTTTATACCTAATTGAGTTTGGGCTCACTTTAAAGGTCTTTGCGAGGGCTATCGTATGGCGTCTCCAAAAAATTCCTTATGCTATTGAAAGGTGCTAGAGGCAATACAAAAGGCTCCTGAATTAATCTGGAAACGGGGTAATAAGGGTCACTTGAAATAAAACTCAATTTTGAAATGTTTGAAGCATGTAGAGTACCTACCTACCGTATACTCATCCATTACTAACAGTACTCTGAAATCCTCCTCTTCCTTTGTAGATGATGTAAATGTAGAATAAATTATTTTTTTGTGATTTTTACTTGGTTTTTCTTTATTGATATAATATTACTGTATCCATGGACATGCCATTGAGCATTGGCAACGACCTTGTGCACTGCAACTTCTGCAAGCTTCATGAAGTTCATATCAGCAGCCATGTAGCATTTCTTCTGTATCTGTTAGCTTACAGGATGGCTTGTAATTTCGCACAATTTTAATTGAGTCAAGTGAGGTCACTATAACAAAAAAGATTGTAAAAAACATACCTGAAACAGGAAAGAATATCTTAGTGACAACCATCATATTTTTGGAGAAATAAATCATAGTTTAGGTTAATTACTTTTCATTCTTTGTTGCACAGTGCTCAATTCTATCTATGACATTCTATGCACAATTTTGTGATGACTGATGCAGTAATTTCTTGCTAAGTGAAATTTTTTCAATGAGCAAGGTAAATGTACCATCAACCGGGGCTACTCGGGACGGTTTTGAGCGTTTTTTGTTAATAACTTCTTACCATGAAACATTTCATAAACAAGCTTAGGCTCATTTTATAGCTCTTTGCGAGGGCTATTGAATGGCATCTTCAAAAAAATTCCATATGCTATTTGTAAGGTGCCAGAAGCAAAAAAATAGTGTCCTGAGTAGCCCCATTGAACAGGGCTACTCAGGACACTTGCATTAAAACTTCATTTCAAAATATTTGAAGCATGCAGAGTGTACTCATCCATTACTAACAGTACTCTGAAGTCCTCCTCTTTCATTGTAGATGATGTAAGGGTAGAATAAATGAAATTTTCAGTGATTTTTACTTGTTTTTCCTTTATTGATGATATTACCATAAACATTAATTACCATCAACTGGGGTGACTTTGGCCATGTTTTTTATTTTGTTCTGCAAACAAAAATGGGGTCATAAATGCCAGGGTCGTAAACAAGATCATAAACTCCGGAGTGACTTTGGCCATCGTTTATGACACCGCTTTTGTTTGCAAAACAAAATCAAAAACGCAGCCCAAGTCACCCCAGTTGACGGTACAGTATTATTGATGCAATATTACTGTATTATTGATGTGATATTTCCATATCCATGACCATGCCATTGAGCATTTACAACAACCTTGTCCACTGCAAGCTTCATATCAGCAGCCTTATAACATTTTTTCTGTATCTGTAAGCTCACAGGACGGCTTGTAATTTCACACCATTTTGATTGGGTTGAGTGAATTTACTATAAAAAAATATAACTCAGTACTCACTGCAGTGAGTGACAGAGAGCGCATTTTCTCGTTGACAAAAACTTGAGGTCACAGAGGAACGGACAGACAGACAGATGGACATGGCAAGCACAATAGTGCTCGTTTATGCGCCATGCACTCGTTTATGAGCCATCTTAATTGGGTTAAGTGAAATTACTATAAAAAGAAGATCGTGAAAAACATACCTGAAACAGAAAGGAATGTTTCAGTGACAACCATCATATATTTTGGAGAAATAAATCATAGTTTAGGTCAATTACTTTTCATTCTATGATGCCCGGTGCACAATTATATATATAGAATTCTATGTACAATTTTGTGACGTCCGATGATGCACTAATTCGGGGTGTCCGATGATGCACTTGGGGGGGGTGTCCCGAGTAGCCCCGCCGTGCGTAAATGGCCGCCATTTTTTTTTGGAATAAGAATTTGGAATTTTTTTTTCAATTTCGTCAATTACGTTTTCAAGCCAACACCTGGGTGCATCTTCTATGTAAGTAAAATTTTTAATACGGCAAATATTTTTTTGGCTACAGACCTTAGCAGAAGTAACTTCTCAAAATAGCGTTTTTCACCATTTTTTTCAGGAATTTTTCAAAGCTAGTAAATGTAGTATTTTTCTACTTCCTTTATACTACATAGATAGGAAAAATGTTGACGTTTATGCCACTATATTTAGTTTTGCAATATTCCAATTAGTTTTGCTACTATAACAGTTTTACGCCGTGTCGGAGGACTGTCCCGAGTAGCCCCGCCAGTCCCGAGTAGCCCCACCAGCCCCGAGTAGCCCCGGTTGATGGTAATCAAAATTTTTTGTTGTTAATTGATTTTTTTCATTAACTGGAGCCTTTGCTAACCAAGGTTCTACTGTAAATGCAATTTTAGGGGTGTTCCTTATTACCGTAAAATGGGGTTACTTTGACCGGCGGGGTAACTTTGACCACTTTTCGTTTTTTTAACAAAAACCCCTAAAACTCAAAAATGATTCGACATAGAAAAATTTTGTCAATGGCCATCAAAGGCCTAATACTGAGGCTACATAACACAATAGTAATTACATCAAAACTATGAGAGGCAGGAGCCAGCAATTTATGGTGAGTAAAGCTAGAGTATAGACCTGTATTTTGCATGTTTCAATTTAATTTTAACTTATCTAGTAAAAAAATGGCATCATTTTGAAATAAAAAAGTGGTCAAAGTTACCCCAGTTTACGGTACCCCATTTGACGGTACATTCCATGCCACTGCCAGGGCTCCTAAAGTAGTTTGAGAGCATTTTTCACCATCTGCCCCTGGGGTGGCAGGGCTGCTGGGCAGTCATGATGAGAAAAGAGAGACTTTTTTTACCTTTCTGTTTAAAGATACCGTCAACCGGGGCTACTCAGGACAAGCGGAGCTATTCGGGACAGGCCTCCGACACGGCGTAAAACTGTTGTAGTAGCGAAACTAATTGGAATATTGCAAAACTAAAAATAGTGGCGTAAACGTCAACATTTTTCCTATCTATGTAGTATAAAGGAAGTTGAAAAATACTACATTTACTTGCTTTGAAAAATTCATGAAAAAAATGGTGAAAAACTATATTTTGTAAAGTTACTACTGCTAAGGTATGTAGCAAAAAAAAATTCGCCGTATTGAAAAATTTTACTTACATAAAAGTTACACCCAGGTGTCGGCTTGAAAACGTAATTGACAGAATTTGCCTATCTCATTCCAAAAAGAAATGGCAGCCATTTCCGCACAGCGGGGCTACTCGGGACACCCCCAAACACGCATTTACGGTAGAACCTCAGTTAGCAAAGGCTCCAATTACAAAAAAAAATTGATTAAAAACAAAGAATATTGATCACATTTTCCTTGCTCAGCGAAAAAAATTTCACTTATTGAAAAATTAGTGCATCATCAGTCATTACAAAATTGTGCATAGCATGTCGTGTATAGAATTGTGCACCAGGCATCATAGAATGAAAAGTAATTGACTGAAACTATGACTTATTTCTCCAAAAGATATGTTGGTTGTCACTGAAACATTCCTTTCTGTTTCAGGTATGTTTTTCACGATCTTTTTTTACCATAGTAAATTCACTTAACCCAATTACAATGATGTGAAATTATGAGCCGTCCTGTAAGCTTACAGATACGAAAAAAATGCTATAAGGCTGCTGATATGAAGCTTACAGTGGACAAGGTTGTTGTAAATGCTCAGCGGCATGTTCATGGATACGGTAATATTGCATCAATAATATGATAATTGCACATCAATAATACGGTTATTAATGTATATGGCAATATCATATGTATAAAGGAAAAACAAGTAAAAATCACAGAAAATGCCATTTATTCTACCTCTACATCATCTACAATGAAAGAGGAGGACTTCAGAGTACTGTTAGTAATGGATGAGTACGTACGCTCTGCATGCTTCAAATGTTTTGAAATGAAGCTTTATTCCCATTGTCCCGAGTAGCCCACGGGGCTACTCGGGACAATCTTTATTTTGCGTCTGGCACCTTACGAATAGCATATAGAATTTTTTTGACAATGCCATTCAATAGCCCTCGCAAAGAGTTATAAAATGAGCCTAAATTTGTTTATGAAATGTTTCATCGTAAGAAGTTATTAACAGTTATTAACAAAAAAATGATCAAATCTGTCCCGAGTAGCCCCGGTTGATGGTAGTGAGTAAAGGTTTATTTAGATCAGGTATAAATAGAAATGAACAATGTCTAAAAAATCCATTGTTGGAAACTACACCTGGAAAGCTGCACTGGCATCTTGCTGCTTGTTGCATACTGCATTTGCATAGTACATATTATCAAAATTTACATCAGCCCAAAAAACTAAAGCATTTTTTAAAACTTTCTGTACAAAGCTTGTAGCTCAATGTACCAACCCAACTTTTAAGAATTTTTAAATTATTCATGTTCATACTTATTCACAATTCACATTCATAGCCATAGGTCAGATAACAAACTACAGCCTTTACAGATAGTCAAAGGTCAAAATTTTGATACAACTCCAGTTATTGTGCAACTGAATGTCTAAACAAAGTATTATTATTGTATGCAATAGTATTCAAACTCCTTAATTCTTTATTTCAGATTTTTTCTCTGTAAAGTTGCTTAAAGTTTTATACCTGTCAATTAAAGTGATCTATATCTCTATCATGGAAATAATACTGGCATCAGAATGTCCACCTCAAGAGACTCTCATGGCCCCAACAGCTTCTAGTCACACTCGGCTGGTCACGCCTGGGGAAGTAATATATGAAGACACTAGTTATATGAGGTTTGTAGCCCACTACAAGTAGATGTCACAGACATCTACTCATCGGACAGTTGAAATTGCATATAGGTACTCTTAAGTGTAAATTGAAATGAATTAGCAATTATTCACTAATAATCAAAGAGCTCTCTATATTTTAGCATTTAACTGGCTGTCTTACAGTTTATTATTCTATGAGTAAAATTAGTTGAAGTTTCAACCAATTTTTGGGGGGAAATACAATCTAAGAGCTACATTGGGAAGATGGAAAGATCAGTTTGCTGATTTAGTGAAAGGCAATAGCCTGATTAAAAGTCAGTGCTTACCAAAAGTCTTGTGAATTGATATTTAATAATTTCCTTTCCATCACTAATTGATTACATGTCATGAATTTGTCAGCTGATTATCCTTGAAATATGAACTAAATCTGCCTAGAAAGAATTTTACCCCATCACTCAACTTGAAACACCTTCAAAACATTTTGTACCAAATGCTGTTCTTGTTTACAACTTAAATAAAGTTAAATTTAATAAAAATGAATATATAAAATTTTTTGCACTGTACCTAAGAGTAATAAGTCTTTAATTTTACAGAGGCCATGGAACCTACATGGAGGATGGGTGCCAGGTTGCATCAGTTGCAGGCTATGTTTCGCAGGTCAATAGACTAGTCACAGTCACTCCACTCAGGCAGCTTTATCAAGGTGAGTGATTCTCTTCATTTCATCAATTTTGTTGCCTGGAGGAATTGTATTCTATATTTTTTTATGAGTTTTTTTTTTATGTTTTTTGACCTGTGGTGTTTTAATTATGCACAATACTTGTATGCTTTGCTTGTTGATCGAACATCCACGAAGTGAGATACTGCCAATGGGTTGTTGAAATTAGAATTATTGCAAAATAACATGATCAACTGCTATACCTATATATTAATATTGACTTTCCAATTTACCCGAGTAATGAGCTTCATTTATAGGCTGGATTAAATGAGTCTTTATTTTATTTATTATCAGATCACAGTTAAAATGTGTTGTTGTTTACAGGTGCAGTAGGCGACACCATAGTGGGCCGAGTGACACAGGTTGGAGGTGGACGATGGAAACTTGACATCAATTCACGCCTTGATGCGGAGCTCAAGCTTGTTAACGTCCAGCTTCCTGGTGCGGAGCAGGTGCATTGTTGTTTTCTCTTCAAGTACTCTTCTCTTATTAATATTGGTGGTTGTGTCAGAATTAGTGGTGACAAATTTAGCAGGTCACTCATTTTCAGAATTATTAAAACTCGCTAGGGCTTTGAAACCCCATATCCCGGCTCTATTATTGTTCTCAGCTATCCGGACTTTTTGCCATTGTTGTTGTTCTCAACCACCTGGCCCTCTTTCCAATTTTTGACCTGAACAGTTAGAGGAAGCTAGGATTGCGCCCTCAACTCACTGCACCAATCTTGGTAGGTACTCTGAACTTTAACCACTAAGCCACTCTGCAGTAACTTGCCGTCTGGCTTAGGTTATCTTCATAAAAGTTTACAAATGCTGGAAAGTAGGCACCACAGGCCAGGACTGTGTTATCATAGGATTTGTTGATTTAAGTTGTTTTTCTATGCTCCTTGATCGGCGATCTGGATTTGGAGCCTACCAAATTTGGTGTTTTTGCAAGTTTCATCGTTGTGTGAGATGTTGGTGATGAGATGGGGGTGAGTTGTCAGGTTAAGCATTTTAAAAGTTGTTTTCTATTTTGGTTGCATAATTTTATAGAAGCAATGAAGCACTACTATGCATTTTTGCATTGCATTTTTTTGTACGTACGTTTTGATTGTTATTTGTTGGTTTATGTTGGAGTTAACATTGAGTAATGCCTTTATATAGGAAGACGAATTAGTATATAATTATGGTGATGTTGGTTCAGGATTGTATCTCCGCCGAGCGCAGCTTATGCTACAGATGATTACTCTCCTCAAACAACTACCGTTATAACATAACATAACATAATGATGTCGGCGCTGAAATGTAGGCCTGATGTGGCCTGTCGCCAATTCTTTTCCTTTTCGTGCCTTGTTCATAGATCTAAACTCGTGTCATTTGACCAGATCTTTTCATGACTGGCGATAGTTTGAAGTAGCTACTAGACTTCCACCTTTACAAAAACTGACTTGTAATCAGCGGATTCACCAAGCTTTCTCGCTGTTTTCAGCACGCTCCAGACCTGAGCAGAATCCTTTACAGTCACCAGCAATGGTCTGAAGGTGTTGCCAGTAGTATCCTTCGAGCGTAGCCTTTTGCAAGATATAACATCAATCGATGTGTTGAATACCTTGCTGCAACAGTCCGCAACAAAGGCCGAGTCATCCATCACTCGGTCCTTCGCATCAGATGCGTTACTTTCAGGAATCCCAAACCAGACCAGGTTGGGACCAAACCAGACCCAAACCAGACCCAAACAGATGCAGGTTATGCCCGTCACGTTCGAAGACATTCCCACGTGGCGAATCCCCATCAGCACCTTCTGCCCGGATCAAAATCTCCCACTAAAATCCGAGTTGCAGGCAACTGCGATGAAAAACCTTTTCCTGGACCACGCAACTACAAAGCATACAAACTCGACCCATATATACACTGACGGCTCAAAGTCGGACGACGCAGTGGGGTGTGCGGCTACGACCGACACAACAATAATATCAAGACGACTGAGCCCCAACGCTTTAATTTATACGGCGGAATTGTCTGGCGTCCTCTGTGCCCTGGCCCTTATAGATGACCACCCCGAACGTAACTTTACAATATTTATAGACTCCAAAAGCGTAGTGCAGGCCCTGAGAACCTGCAAACGAAACATCCTATCATCTTGGAAATTCTGGCCTGGCTTTTGCGCCTGGTGGAGGCGGGAAAAACGATAAGCATCTGCTGGGTCCCGGGACACGTGGGGGTGCGGGGGAACGACAGGGCGGATGAGGCGGCAGTGGGCGCTGCTTCGTCGGACGCGGCCATTTATAGGGAGGACGTCCCATGTCACGACCACTACCCCCGCATCAGGACCAGCGTTCACCATATATGGCGCGAGCTGTGGCTGAACACGAGAAACAATAAACTGAGAACAATCAAGGACAGTGTATCAGCATGGAGCTCATCGTACCAGAGATCCCGACAAATGGAGATAGCGCTGTGTAGACTGAGGATTGGCCATACGCGCCTCACTCGCGGCTACTTGATTGAACGGCGCCCTATACCATATTGTGACGACTGCCTGGTGCCCCTGACAGTTCTGCATGTCTTGGCGGAGTGCCCTAGCCACAACGACATCCGACAAAACTGCTACCCCAACACATCCGCCCTTGATCATGACGAGATGCTCACTAGAATGCTGCGGGAGGACCGGCGAAGTAACTTCGAAACCGATAACCTTAGACGATACCTGATGGAATGCAACCTCCTGCCAGAGATTTAGCATGACCCCGTAACGCCACCGCCGGTCGGTCATATGCACTTGCACCACCGCCTTTAGCGAGACTATAATCGCACCTTGCCATCACCTAGACTAAGCCTCACTAAACTTGCGCTGGAGTTGATACATGAAGTCGGAGCGGACCCTCGCTCCATGAGCAGGGAATCTACCGCCCAGCCCCTGCGCCTAAAATGGATCAGGCTTTAAGCCTTGAAGACGGAAGAAACCAAACATCTTTGACGTAACTGAAGATCTCACCTCCGGCGCGAAATAGATAGCTATCTGAAGCGCTAGTAAATCTTTTACTACTACTACTAATAATACTACTCAGAAAAACGAACAATCAACAATTGAACAAAACTTATTGGTAACATCAAAATGTTGATATGCACAACAAAGTATTTAATTAAACAATTTTTTCATGTAATACATAAGCTCTTCCTCAATTCCAGGAACAATTTTGTGTTGTGTTATTTTAAATTTTTAAATTGACTGAATTGATAGAAATATTGTGCTCTTGGATTCAAATTTTCAAAATTTTTAATATGAAAAATGCTAATACTAGTAGCATTTTTACTAAAGTAACGAGCTATTACAGCGGCGCAAGAACGTCGAAGATGAGCGCGGGATGCGTGACTTGCTGAGCGAGGGCGCGCTGGTTTGTGTCGAGGTACAGAAGGTGGGGCAGGACGGCGTCCTCAGACTGGCTGCCCGCACCAACAAGTTTGGCAAGGTGGGGGGAGGGTTGAGGCTTTTGAGTGCTTTTTATAATACATAAACAGGAAGTTCGTCTGTGCAATCATTTTACTCTCTGTAACTCACTGCAGTGAGTACTGAGTTATATTTTTATAATGCATGAACAGGAAGTTCGTCTATGCAATCATTTTACATGGAGTCTGTGTTAATCTGTATGTATAATGATTTACTAATCCAAGTATTTCTCAATAAATTAAGACGGCAAGGTGGGGGAGGGAAGAGGTTATTAGGTGACATTTATAATACATAGACAGGAAGTTCGTCTGTGCACTCATTTTACACAGTCTATTAATCTGTATGTATAATGATTTACTAATCAAAATGTTTCTCAGTGAATTGAGATGGCAAGTTGGGAAAGTGGCTTTTAACTGCATTCTATAATCAGCATAGAAGTGACATGACTATCATAGATATTCTCTGTGTCAAATGTTATAATCAGAGGCACGTTTATTCTGTTGCTTCACATCACCAACACTGAGCTTTTTATTACTGGAAGAAGACTTGAATATGATTTCTCATGTTGACAGTTAGGACAAGGGATGCTGGTGTCAATGTCACCATCACTGCTGGTACGGGACAAGCAACGTATGCACGATCTGCCTTGTGGGGCCCGCGTCGTGTTTGGGGCCAACGGCTACATCTTCCTAGGGCCCACCTGCGACCAGGAGCAGGGCCTCTCCTACACCGACAGCGATGAAGAGGTTTGCTTTAATGATGTCTGCATAAATTTTTATAACAATTACTCAAATGTTGTGTTTAACCTGATTTTAATACTATTAATGATATGCCACCAAGTAGTATGTAAATTATACTTCGTCCTTATCAACAAATAAATTGTCAACATTGATGAGATGTTGATGACATAGAGACATGCTTTCAATGTAAACATAAATGACATGAATTTTTCAGATGAAACTGACCACCTGATGTTTACCATTATATTACTCTTCACTAATTATTTGATTTGTCTTTAACGTGAATATTGAAATTTCATGCGACTTGTTCAGAAAAGTATTAATCAATAGATACTAGTAAAATTGGCTGATTTTCAGAAAATAATAAATTATCTATTATAATTAATATTATGGTCATTATTATTAAGAAGTTACTGTAATATATTACTCTGACGTGTAGGTGGGCGTGGAGGTACGGGAGAGCTTGGCCCGCCTCAGCAACTGTCTGCGCGCTCTGGCCAAACACTCCGTCATGATCTCCCCCACGTCCATCATGGCGGCGCACGACGCGTCTATTCAACTTAACATTCCTGTCAGTTGATTATTAGTCTACCGATACATTAACCGTCGTCAAAGCTATTTGTATCTTAACACTTTAAGCGCGACACGACCCACCGAAGAATTGCAGTGTCATTTTTCAATATAAAGTCCGGGGTTTGGTTTTTTTAATTGCATTGTTCGGCAAAAATTTATGATGTCGGTAGTACTTCATTGTTAAATTTAAGATTTACGAATAAAAAAAAATTTAATATTTGCAACGGAACCTACAAATTTACTCTTAAATAGTGAATTGTAGGCCTTTTTTGACCGCGGACTTGGCCGTTTTTAGGCCATCTGGCAATCCTGCTGGGTCGTACCGCACTTGACGTGTTAAAGCCTGGCGATGGGATTTACCATCAAAAGACAATGTGTCAACAATTTGTCTTCGGGACACATAATAAATCGTTCTCAATGCTATTCGTACCAAAAGCCTGGTGACGGGAGTTACCGTCACAAAAATGTAATAATTTGTTACATGAGAAACGTGAATCTTCATCAATGCAATTCCTACCTAAAAGCTTGTTAGAAGAGTTGCATTTGTGGATAAGGATTGACCACATCACTCATTATCACTTTAAATCCTAACTCCATAAAAATAGGCTCTTTTTGGTCGATTCTCCCAGGTTTATTGTATTGCGCGTCGATCCAATTCGTCTTGTATTTACTTGCTATTAATTATCGAGTAAAAACCGTGAGGTGTAGCTTTTTGCTCCAAATTCTTTCTTTCCTATTGCATGCCAATTTTCTGCGATCTGGAATGTTGATAGCTTTATTGTCTAATTTATGTTGGTTATGAAGAGTATGCCTTTGGGATAATGAATGTAAATAATTCAAACACCTCAGATGAATCTAGAGAATGTTAATTATAATTACTAATCTTGTTTTTTGTGCGCAGGTGAAGGACTTGTTGAAAGGCGACGTGATGCGAGACATAGCCATCGCCACACTACAAGACATCGCCGATACCTGATCTTTGGTTGATTATAAAGCCTCGTGAAAAATATTCTATTTCTTACCCTTAAGCGGTGCCCATTATTTTATCAGCTCATTATTCTTCTGCTCGTTATTTAGTACTCAGTCTACTATTATTCATTTGTAAGGCCGGCGTCGGAACCACTTCATAGCGAGAATTTTGTCATCAAACTCTCGCCTATGCATAAATAATGTTGGAGTAACTTCTATCAATAGTCAATTTAGAAGGTAGCAAAGGATATCATAGAATACATGCGAAAAGCTTGCATCGGATCAGGTCTATGGCGTTGCTGCATTGGAGTAAGTAGGTACGTAATAAATCATTTAGTTATGAGGCCTAACCTTTCTAATATTTTTATAACCTAATGACTCTATCGTTATAGGTGCATCGTACATAGATGTTCAATATAGCAAGTATCAAATTGTCTTTTTAGCGCATTTTCTCATTTATGGAAAATGTCCTATTGTGCTCGCCATATCAGTCGGTCTGTCCGTCCGTCCATCCGTGACTTCACGTTTTCGTCGACGAGAAAATGCGCTCTCTGTCACTCACTGCAGTGCGTACTGAGTTATATTTTTTCAGTCATGAAATCGGCTTCAGTTTCACATTTTCTTGAGTGCCCTGAAGTTTCAATCCCATTCTAATTGTTTTTTTTTTTGGCTTCTGGTAATTGTATTGTACGAGTATTTAGTCTGGCCCAAATTATTGCCATTCGATTTAGATGCGTTTACATGGCCATTAAAGATAAGCTTGGACAGGACATCAGTGCATTTATGAGTTATAATTCACTTACTAAATAGCCTAGAAATTATGTTGATTGGTTACAAGGAGGGCTATTTACGCTTTCTGGCTCAGATTGAAGGAGAAATTTCTGCCAGAGTTACACTTTTTGAAGATGCAATTTCCAGAAATTAAAATTTCAAAAACCAGTTCAAGGATATTAGAAGTTTTCTGCGAAATATTTATTCGAATGAATTTTAAAAAATAATACACATCAGAGGTTCAAATCGCACTTGAAGAATTTATGAAATGCGGTTTGCTTGGTGATTAAAAACCGAATCGACACTTCAGCGAACTCGCCTGCGAGCTCGCATGCAAAACCTAACTTCATTTTCAACTCAGGAACTCATAAATCCGTCAATAATGAACGGATTTTATTCAAATTTGAAATATAAGTAGATAATATCAGTAATTTGCGGACGGAATTTTTTCAGATTTTTACATCAGTAACTTTTTTGTTAATACGGAAAACCTAACTTCATTTCCAACTCAGGCACTCATAAATCCGTCAATAATGAACAGATTTTATTGAAATTTGAAAAAGGCGGAAAAAGCGTCAATTTCAACGTCCGAGTCAAAACTTTAATTCAAATGTTCATATTTTAATTTTTGTGTACAGCAAGTGGCAATGCTATAGATGGAACAATGGTCATAAAATTAGTGATTGACTGAGTCATGATAAACAAGCCTCACAGGCAAACCAGAAGCCGTCCTGGTTATTTTTTATGAGCGATTTCAAGTGACCATATATGGTAACTTGCCCGTGAAAGGATTAAGGTAAGTTTATTTGTTAACGTGCTAACTACAGTCAGGTTTCTACATGTAAGTTGATAGAAAAACAAGAGCTTGTTCATTTTAGTAATTCTTTTGTAAAATAATGTCAGTTATTGAAGGAAAGAGGAATGCGGATTGCGGAAACGCGTGGGGTGCTGGATCCTGGAAGTCTCCCACCGAGTCCCGCTCCCACGGTCCTTTCTCTTCGGATGCACTGTGCAGTGTGCAGGCATTGAGTGTTGTTGCTGAAGTCACTAATCACTATACCTAATTTTAGGATGTCATTTAAGTAATTTTCCTTCATTTATTATTGTGTAGTAATTTCGGCTGTCTATATATCTCCAGAGCCAGACCATTCAGTCATTCACCAATCACCATTGCCAATCTGGAATTAGGTATATTTTTTATTATCCAACTTTGAAGATTCTTTAGCTCTTACTAATTCATGTGGATTATGGATATTACATTGAAAGGTATCATCTTATCAATAGGCCATCAGTGGAACCAGCTTTTACTGAAATAAATTCTTGAATTCATGCATTTCTTCTTCTTTTCAGATAATTAACAATCATATTGATTTTAATCATCAATTGAGAAATTGAGTTGAAATAGATAGACTAAGCCTTCTAGATTGCCTTGAAAATGTAAGTACCTACAATTTTAGTTGCTTTTCTTGTGTTAGTTATAGATGTTTTGTCCTCTTTCAGCAATTTATCTATTAGAAAATATGCCTCAAAAAACTGAGTAGGGTTAAATGTTAATGAACCATATTGATATTCTAACATTGTGGCCTGTGTGTACCTAATTCTAAGTATTTCCAACACTTCTCAACTTTTTCCTTTATATTAATTTTGTCTTAGTTCCATGCATGTGTAGATGGTTGAAATAGTGACGTCATACTATTGCGCGCGCCGTGCAATATTACCGCAAAACACTAGGTCTGGTGGGAAAATGTTAAGATCCGCAGAGCGAAAGTCCATGTAACCCAGATTACCCAGTGAGAAGTTGAGAACATCAAAAAACATGTGAAAGTTGATAGGGTAAATGCACCATATTCTGACATCGTGGGTAATTCCAATACTTCTCAACTTTTTCCTTTATATTAAGCTTTGTTTTAGTTCCACGCATGCGTAGATGGTTGAAATAGTGACGTCATACTATTGCATGCCAGATTTACGCAAAACACTAGGTTTGGCGGGAAAATGTTCAGATCCTCAGAGTGAAAGTCCATGTCACCCAGTTGAAATGACATGTTTGTGAAGTGCAAACCGCGATTTTTTAATCAAACAAAAATTTATGACATTCGAGCCGCGAGATTTCATACCTACTGAAATTATATGATATTAGAGCCGTGATATTTCAGACAAAAATAGGACTTTTCCAGACTAGCGCAGTATCGGTCACATTAGAGCAGTCAGACTGCTTTATTACATGTTCAGTTGACACTTTCTGTACAATCGGACTGTTTTTAGGGTAAAATTAGTTATTTGGGGTAACACGTGCATGCAACCTTGTGAATAAGTTCGTGGCTTGTAAATAGTTTGTCATTACTCAGCGTAAATGGCGACGCATCTTAAAAATGGTCGGCGACGCTTTGGGCTTAAAAACCCATATATTGGCGACGCTGCTTCCATCTTCTGCGCCCTGGATAGTTGACCTTGCTCTACCAAATAGTGATAAACTATGGTTTGAGACCTTTAAATAAGTCTGAATATATTAGGAATCCTTTAAGTATACTTGTATTTGCTGATTTTAAGTGGTAAATAAATTAATAGATGATTAAGTTGAGAGACGGTTTTAGACAAACAAAAACTAATTCCAATACAGCTCACAATTAGACACACACAGCTCGTTCCTAGCTGTTTTGTATTCCAATACAGCTCACACAGAGCGTTGGAATTACAAATTACGGTTTTGCAGTGCTCTGTCCGCAAGTCTACGGACAATAATCATAGAGGCAAAGCAGAGAGATTTTTAGACTCTTCCTCAAGTTCATTTTTGAGTCCTATAAGTAGACCAGTAAAGTATCTTGGATACCAGAATTATCATACATAGGAAATCTGTTAAAATCTTGAGTAAATGAGGAAATTAAAAATGAACTGATTCTAAAAACTCACTGGTTTGCCACTATGACGGACATCACACTGCGGGACTGCGCATATCAGTGATGTTGGTATTAGTCTCACAATATGCCAAATTTAGTCACACACAGCGTCAGAATTCAGCAATTTTGTAGATTTTCTATTCTGAAGGCTTTTAATTAAATATGGCAACAGTTTGTGACGTTTCATCATTGCTGGCGCGTAGTGTGGTGTTTTGAGAGTGATGTAAACCAATCAGAACTTGAGTTGCGCATACGGTGATCTTTATATAGCCATTCATTTCTTGCTACGTCCTTAAAGTGTCGGAATATGCTGTGTTTACCCCAGTTGACCTTGCTCTACCAAATAGTGATAAACTGTTTGTGTAGAAAGAATATTATGGTTTGAGATTTTAAATAAGTCTGTGAATATATTAGGAATCCTTTAAGTATACTTGAAATTGCTGATTTTAAGTGGTAAATAAATTAATAGATGATTGATTTGAGTGACAGTTTTAGACACATAAAGATTAATTCCAACACAACTCTGAATTAGACACACACAGCTCGTTCTGAGCTATGTCTTATTCTGGTACAGCTCACACAGGGTATCAGAATTCTAACATAGAGTGTCAGAATTACGAATTATGATTTTGAAGTGCTGTTGGAATTAGTCTCAATATGCCACATTCAGTCACCCACGTGTCGGAATTCAGCAATTTTGTATATTTGAATTTTAAAGGCTTTTAAATAAATATGGCAACAGTTTGTAACGTTTCATCATTGCTTGCACATAGTGTGGTGTTTTGAGAGTGACGTATACCAATCAGAACTCGAGTTGCACATATGGTGATCTATTTATAGCCATTCATTTATTGTTACTTCCTTAAGGTGTCAGAATATGGTGTGTTTACTCTACGGAAGGAGCAATGCCATTAATGGTTTTAATGCTAGTCTCAGACCTCAGACTCAGTTCCTTTCTACATTTACCATTATCACATTACAATTCTAGATTGGAAAAGTCATACTTTTTTCTGGTATGAAAATTCAATAGGTATGAAATCTCACAGCTCTAATAACTAATTTTATGTTTTATTGTTTGTTTGAAGAAATTGTAGTTCACAAAGGTGTCATTTAATAAATTTACAACTTTTGTTGGAAATTTAGCTGTTTGGAAAAGTCATATATATACTTTTTTTCTGAAATATTGCAGCTCTAATATCAGATGATTTCAGTAGGTTTGCTATCTTGCAGCTCTAATGTCATGTAGGGTATTGTAGTTTGATTAAAGAAGTTGCAGTTCAGAAACATGTCATTCAAGAAAATCTTTTACTTCTGCAGTACTTAGTTGGTACCAGGCATGGAATATATCTACTTGGTGAGCCGTGACTGAATTTTTCGAGCCGTGGTTTTATGGATTTGCCAGCCGTGATTCCATTTCTTTGAGCCGTGATTCCATTTCACCGAGCCGTGAATTCCATATCTTGGCCATGAAAAGCCATTCACAAGGTGCGAATTTATTTACAAAATCCATGCACGTGTTACCCCAGATCTCTAATTTTACCCTTAAACAGTCAAACGGCAACAATAAAATTTGTCTTTACTGTAAGTTGAACACGTGTATATGCAGTCTGACCGCTTTGACATGACCGCAACTATGCGCGATCTTCAACAAAACATTTAGTTGTTTTGTTTACATTACGATGTTTACGTTTTTTCTGCCGGATATTTTGGCGGGAACGGTAAAGCAATGTTGATTGCAGAAGTTGAAAATTTTATGAAATGACATGTTTGTGAAGTGCAAACCACAATTTTTCAATCAAACCACACTTTATGACATTCGAGCCACGAGATTTCATACCTACTGAAATTATATGATATTAGAGCTGCGATATTTCAGACAAAAATAGGACTTATATAGCCCTGGTTGGTACCATGCTCCCGTCAATATATCCTGCATAACGAGTCACGTTGTCAAGTCAATACTCAATCCAAAATGTTTTGTTGGAGATGGCATAGGTTTTGGTCACATCAGAGTCCATTGTGGAATTCTAGGAATTGGTTGGTCAATTACATCCACCAGGACAGCCAAAGTGCTCCAGAGCAGCTACTGACTTGGGAAGCAGGGAGAGGGAGCAGGATTGCTGCCCACTCCAATAGTGTAGTGGAACGATGCGGCTGGCAGCACAATTGTTCCACTACAATAGGACTGAGACAAGCACACTGCCGCAGCTGCAGGCCTGTTTGAAGTGGAGCACGCACTTTTCCACAGTCCTGCTCTTATTGTAGTGGGACAAGCATGCTGCTGTCTGATGCTTTTTGGTAGAGCAATGTAATGATTTGGTTTATAATTCACAACAGGGTCCAGTAAGTTCTTAATTGTCCAATCAATACAATAGAAGGTTCATGATAAGTCTTTTAATTCACTAAATACTTATTTAGGGTTAGACACGGTGAGGTTAATACAGATTAAGTGGAGTTAGTACAGATAATAATGTCAACACTATTGCATTGATATTATTATCTACATTAAAAAGCAGTATGGGTTAGTTGGTTACTTTCTGTTCTGCAACTGATGCAGGGAACACTTGAGCAGCTTATGTTGACACACAACAATGATGTCACAGAAGGTGACGCAGTAACTACTAAAGCAAGTATAGGAAGTGACAGCAGAGAACCTGACACTGCCGTTGCTGTCGGCTTGCTAGTATTGGAGCACGCAGCCATCCCGCTCCTATTGGAGCAAGCATGCTCTTATTTTTGGCCACCGCGCTCCTCAATTACATAAGTACTTGGTCATTTAGAACGCCACCATGCATCAGACTGCATTATCATGTATTCAGTTGCCTCTAAAGTAAAGACAAAAGTATTGCTGCTTTTTATAGGGTAAAATAAGAGATTTGGGGTAACAGGTGCACAGGACTTTGCAAATGAGTTTGTGGCTTGTCATGGCCATGATATGAAATTCATGGCTCACAGAAATGGAAGCACGGCTTGCAAATTTATAAAACCACGACTTACAATCCAGTTGCAGTTCAGACTTCAGAGAGTAGATATTTTCCTTACCAGGGTTACATTCTATACATGGTGCAATTCTAGGATTGGCAGTACATTTTGTTCTTGACAAAGAGCACCCAGTTTAGGTTGGGTAGTGACAGGAGACAGGGCTTTCAACCAACCAATGTTAGGAATTTGAATAATTTAATTTTTGATTGGAGACAAATAGTCGCATAAAATTTTTATATTTAATGTGAAGTTAACTTCAAATAAATAACTTAAAATTTAATTTTTTTAGATTTTATATCTAGAATGAAGTATAACTTTACAAGTATCAATTGTCAAAGTAGCAAGTTAGAGCAAGTCAACATTTTTTTGGAGTCAGCAGAGCAATATAATACAACATACACATATACAATACCACATACACAAATAACGATCCACAAAATAAATTGAAAAATATAGACTTGAATAGTAAAATATCTTACTTACTTTTGTAGGTGGCAAAATGGAAACACTGACAGACAAAATTACAATGACCTACTTTTGTAGGTTGCTTAGCTACTGGTATGGCTTCACCATAAAGACACTTCAATCCTTTGTTGATATTTCAAACTTCATGGTTCCATGGGTGCATTAGACATTAGAACTGTATACCGTATCTCAAGACATTAGAATAAAAAAATATTCATAATATCAAAATTGAATGTATTCACTATATCCAGGAAACAAACGATGTACTGCCAATGCCATGTTTATCAGCTCCAACCCAACTAAAGAGTTGCAGGAGGGACCTTGCAGTGATGTCACATGCACAACATATTGCATGTGATGTCACACCCTATACATCATGAAATAATTATTTTTAGAAACATTTTGTGGGCCATTCTTGACTTGAAATATGCTTTTATTCTTATTAAATTTATAAAATTGTATAATTAGTACTTGTTATTGTTTAACATCAACAAATAAACTTGTGGCAAAGTATTTTGATTCTACATTAATTTGCTTTATGGATGTAGCTCCTAGAAAACTTTTCACAGATAGACCTTGTTACAAAGGAATTGTTTTGAGCCAATTCACATGACATTAGTTTTCAAGTTTTACTTGAAAATTCTCATTTCAGGTGATGAATTTCACTTGTAACATAGCATGGAAATATGGGGACACAACTTTTATGATAAATTAGTTGCATAAACACATGTCTAGTTCTTTCTATTAGAAATCAATGTCAATAGACTTTTGTATACCATACATTTGATTGGACTGATCAGTTGTAAAAGCTGTTCTGAGTGATAAATATACCCAAATTATTAATTATTTGACAATTGTAAATGATAAGAGAGATACTTTGAAGTTTCTCGACCTTTCCAGCATTGAAATCCATGAGCAAACATGAATTTTTAATATTTTTTAGGCATTTAATAACTTGAAACCTGACTTCAATAAGTACCGTCAACCGGGGCTACTCGGGACAGGCGGGGTAACTCGGGACTGTCCTCCGACGCGGCGTAAAACTGTATTAGTAGCAAAACTAATTGGAATATTGCAAAACAAAATATAGTGGCATAAACGTCAACATTTTTCCTATCTATGTAGTATAAAGGAAGTTCAAAAGTACTACATTTACTAGCTTTGAAAAATTCCTGAAAAAATGGTGAAAAACAATATTTTGAAAAGTTACTTCTGCTAAGGTCTGTAGTAAAAAAAATTATTTGCCGTGCTAAACAATTTTGCTTAGAAAAAAGTGGCAGACAAGTGTCAGCATGAAAACTTTATTTGCGGAATTTACATAACTCAATAAAAAAATGGCAGCCATTTCCGCATGGCGGGGCTACTTGGGACACCCCCTGGGGCTATTCAGGACACCCCCCGGGGCTATTCGGGACACCCCCCCGGGTTTTTCGGGACACCCCCAAAAACGCATTTACAGTAGAACCTCAGTTAGCAAAGGCTCCAGTTAAGAAAAAAATTGATTAAAAACAAAGAATATTGATTACATTTACCTTGCTCAGCAAAAAAAATGTCACTATCAAAAAATTAGTGCATCATCGGTCATTACAAGACTGTGCATAGAATGTCTTGCATAGAATTGTGCACCAGGCATCATAGAATGAAAAGTAATTGACCTAAACTATGATTTATTTCTCCAAAACATATGATGGTTGTCACTAAAACATAACTTTCTGTTTCAGGTATGTTTTTCACAATCTTTTTTTATAGTAATTTCACTTAACCCAATTAAAATGGTGTGAAATTACAAGCCGTCCTGTAAGCTTACAGATATAGAAAAAATGTTATAAGGCTGCTGATATGAAGCTTGCAGTGGACAATGTTGTTGTAAATGCTCAATGGCATGTCCATGGATACGGTAATATCGCATCAATAATAAGGTAATATCGCATCAATAATACAGTAATTAATGTATATGGTAATATCATATCAATAAAGGGAAAACAAGTAAAAATCACAGAAAATGTCATTTATTCTACCTCTACATCATCTACAATGAAAGAGGACTTCAGAGTACTGTTACAGATGAGTACACTCTGCATTCTTCAAATGTTTTAAAATGAAGTTTTATTCCAAGTGTCCCGAGTAGCCCCGTTCAACGGGGCTACTTGGGACACTCTTTTTTTTGCTTCTGACACCTTACGAATAGCATATGGAATTTTTTTGGAGAAGCCATGTGATAGCCCTTGCAAAGAGCTCTGAAATGAGCCTAAATGTGTTTATGAAATGTTTCATGGTGAGCAGTTATGAATGAAAAACTTTCAAAATCGTCCCGAGTAGCCCCGGTTGACGGTAGTACCGTATGCCATTGTGTCTTGTGAGAGGTAGTGCTAGTGTGCTGTGGACTGGTCTGTGAACATTGATGATCAGTTTAGAATCTCTAAATGATTAACTATATTAACTATAGAATTGCATCATGATTACATACAGGTATCATTGCATTATATTGGTTGACTTCACCTTTGAATTAAAGTTACTTTTATATGTCTCTACAGGACTGAGTACTGGAAAAGCAATGCCCGTAAGTTCTGCGACTACTGCAAGTGTTGGTTTGCTGACAACAGAGCAAGCATTGACTTTCACGAGGTGGGCAAGAAGCACAAGGAGAATGTTGCCAAGCGGCTAAAGGAGATTGGCATTAGAGGCAGGGAGGACTATGAGAACTCCCTCAGGGCAGATGACTACATGAAGCAGATGGAACAAGTGAGTCATTTGTAGCCATGTTTTGATGAGTTTTGAACAAGTGATGCATTTGAGTATGGCATTCTGATAGGCAATGAACAAGTGAGGCATTAGTTGCAGTGTTTTGATAGGTAATGAACAAGTGAGGCATTAGTTGCAGTGTTTTGATAGGTAATGAACAAGTGAGGCATTAGTTGCAGTGTTTCGATAGGTGAGGCGTTTGGTGCCCGTTTCCATGGGTTCTAAACGAGTGAGGTGTGCAATGTTATGTTGCAGATGATGGTTCTATGAAAGAAGATTTAGATGTCCTGGATACATCAAAGACTTGTAAATGGTTATATATTCTTATGGTTGTGAAAGAATTTATGTGCATTTACATAGGAAGGATTTCCTGCACTTCACTTCTGTCTTCCATGCTGGAGGCTAATGTCCCCTGTAAGCAACAATCGTCTGTACCTGTTGTTGCTGTTATCTATTCACTCTTTTCACTGTTGCTTTCTTCCATTCACTCTTCCCTTTATTGTAGACAATAAGTACTTTAATAGGGTGAAAATTTGCGATTATCGAGACATTCATTTGAGTGATTTTTATTTTGAGACTTCTGCTGCAAGATGTGATACATGTGTCACATCGGTACACGTATATCCTGTTGCTTCAAATCAGGTGCGATATTAAATTGATATTAATTAACTTACTATTTGCATCTTTTGCTACGGTCGAATATTTGACTGCAATGTCATCTATAACGATTTACTACTATGAATCTGAATCACTGTTACAGTGGAATATCGTACGATGTTCATAAGTATTGCACTCTATTAAGAAAGAGTGGATTAAACCCTCTCCGTTTCCCCAGGCTGCTTTGAAGGCCTACCAAGCTGACCTAGGCGCCAACCCAGACATGACCGGCGAAGCCATAAAGAAGATCGCCAAAGACAGCAACGCCNGATGTGTATAAGAGACCACATACACACTAAAGGTGAGTCATTTCGTTACTGATCAGTGGCCAAAACCAGTGACGGCAAATGTTATTACTACCACATACACACTAAAGGTGAGTCATTTCGTTACTGATCAGTGGCCAAAACCAGTGACTACAAATGCTGTTACTACCACACACACTAAAGGTAAGTCATTTCGTGACTGATCAGTTGCTAAAACCAGTGACGACAATGCTAATACTACCGCAAACACACCAAAGGTAACTAATTTCGTTACTGGTCTGTTGCCGAAACCAGTGACGGCGGCAAATGTTATTAGCTTATTACTACCAAATACGACCAGAGGTAACTCATTTCATAACTGCTAACTTATTTCGTAACTGCTCAATTTTCAAAACCAGTGACGGCAAATTTTCTACCATTCATGCACCAAAGGTGATTTATTTTGTTACTGGTCAGTCGCTAAAACCAGTGACACAAATGCTATTAGATAATTCAGCACTCAGACTTGAGATGCCTCGTCTTTTTGGTTTACATTACAATGCTTCCTACATGTAATGCTTAGGTTCTTTATTCTCTTCAGTTTTTAAATCTTGCCTGTTATTAGACTTAGGGCTGTCGCATTTTGTTTCTGCGGTTTATACAATTTTTGTGACAGGCACTTACTTTGATGAAGGGATCTGACCCTATAGCCAATCCCTACACTATCGATGGCGGCACTTAAGTTCAGTGTTCATTCAGGTCATCGGCAAGAAGTCTTTTCTGCTGTATTGTACTTTCTGACTGAGCTCCGATCGACAGTACTCAACGTTGAAATAGACTGGAGACGAACTGTAACGCCGTGATATTCTTAGTTTGCTTGGCCGGTCAAGTTTATGATGTCGCTGTTTAAAAGTCATTGTCGATGTTTAATGATATGGTTTGATTTCAGAGACAAAATGGGAAGCACCTGCTGAAGGGTTCGTTACTCTAGAGCAACAAAAAGCGGATAAGAAAAAAGAAATCAAAAAGAAGAAAAGTAAGAGCAGAGACTGGGACAAATCATCTATGTCAAAGCAGCAAGAGAAGCCCACAGAAGGTTGGAACAGCGGGGCAAGTAGCAGCGATGTCTACGGCTCCTGGACCACCGTCAAAGCGTGAGTTATTGTTACACATCTTGATGACAATATCTAGTCTACCAGAAATGGGCTCGTCAATAATATAGTTTGTTCGAATGTACAGCGTATTTACTATGTTCTGGGCTGTCTTCATTAATGGATTATTTTTCGCTTAGTTTAGCAGGAAGATTAACTCGAATGCCCAGCGTAAATACTATGTTCTGCGCTGTCTTCAATAATGGATTATTTTTAGCTTAGATTAGCAGAAAGATGAAACGTGATGGGAATTTTTATCAATGACGTGAATTTTCTGGCCTTCTGTGGAATGTACTGCTGACTATTCTACTAAACCGCACGTTTCGCCTAATTTATTGTCTATCAAAATGAACTAGAATTACTCCTATTCAGTCTCGTGGTAATAATGCAGTCTTGATTTCACGAGACTGCATAATGCAGTCTTGATTTCTCGTCGTTTTGATAGTATCGCTCTTCTATGCTCTGGTCAGCCTCTAATTGCACCCGTGATAAGTGTCATAGGTATTGACGTAAAATTTAATGTGCAGACCCGAGCTGCCAGACTTGCAGCTGCCGCGCGTGCCTGGCGATGATGACGTGGAAGAGTACTACGTGGAGACCTACCGCGCCCCCCACCAGTTCACGCAAAAGACGGTTACCCTCGGTGAAACATCTGTTAACTCCGATTTCAAGAAACGGAAAAACGCTCAAAACTTCAAGAAGAATGCCAGGATGAGGACCGGGGATTTATAGTATTCTTTGCAAGCTAAGCTGATTAGTACCTACTACCTAGATTGACTAAAATCTGTGGTGCAATTTGCAGGGAAGCGAAAAATCGATGTAAAATGTAAATTTAATTTTTATCAATAAATCGTAAACTTGTATGTGTGAGATCACCACCTTGTCTGCTGGAAGGACGGCTAGTGTGTTAGCTCGTAAGACCTGCGAATAATGTGAATAATTAATGATAGATAATTGATTAATAATCAAAATCACCACCAATAATCTGTACAACATCTTGAATGTAACTCTAACTTATTATACCACAATTTTCGAATGAATTTCAGCTTTATTCAAGTACACGATAGACCCGAATATAGAAATATTTCAACAAATCAGCAATACTCACCCAAGTAATCGTCCATAAGTGTCCCGATAGCGAACTGAAAATACAAATTTTAATTTTCATCAATAATACTGAGTGAAATATCTTCAATCATTAGGAGTCAATAACTTGATTCTACGAAGAGAACTGTCATAACGCGAGATAATGGCATCCTTGAACACTCCACAGAAAAAAAATTTAACTGGAAATTCCTAATTATCTTGAATGATAGGTGGGCCTAAGGAGCGACTGGTAGAACAAGCAATAACCATGAAAAAATATAGAGACATTACTTGACAAATATGACGCCGCAAATAACACGCATTATCGAAAAAACGAGGCATGACAAAAATAAATACTGAAACCACGGCGACCTTCACGCCTTGAAGGAAATGGAACTCACAATGTCGGCTGCGTCAACTCTGGTGCCCACGATTTTAACTCTGATTTCATCGTCCACCTTGATCACCACCTCCTGTTTTAAGGGAAGGGGGGAGGTTAATGTATATAATGGGATTTACGAATATTTCATGGTGATAAAATCCATTCATATTGAAAATGCTATGAAGTTTTGAAGTAAGGCCGAAATCAAAATTTGATTACTCCTTGAAGAGTTTCACAACGTTAAATATCTGGAAGTCTTCAATTGTATTTAAGCCTGACATTACCACTTGCAAGTCAGATGGTAATGAGATTTAATGAAGAAATATTTTTCATGAATTCATTTAATTTATTGATTTGCAGACCCCTCCATCAGTATTTTTTGTAAACAAGTAGCACATGGCGCAACAAGAGAAAAAAGAACGCTCACCAACTAAACAGTAAAAAATTCTAAAAATGTCGCAAGTGGGTGATTGAGCATCCGGGCAGAATCGAAATGAACCTATTGAAGACTTGATCTAATGAGCCCACCAATCACGCACTTTAAACTGATCAACTTTGTCACAATAGTTCACAATCAAGCTAATATAGTTCACACGTTTATGATCATGCACACTCTCAGGGTGTATTAACATCTGTGGCTCACCTCGTCTCTGCTCTTGTAGCATGACGGGTTGGAGTTTGGGTCGAACTCAAGATCTTGCGGGATGGACTGCCATAAAAACGTTACGACATTAAATGAAAGTATACAAAATGTAGAGAAAATTTACAAAAGCACGAACAAAATGTACATAGAAATTTAGAGAAAAATGTACCAAAGCACAAGGAGAATGTACATAGAAAATTAAGAAAAGTATAGGAATATCCTACTTTAATTCAGCGCAGTTGAAACCCTTAAGATGTACGGTATCTATAATTTTGTTTGATTTAATTTATTATTTATTCACACACACACACACACAGTGAAAAATAAAAAGAGACGTGAAATAAAATAGCAATGCTTCCAGGTGAATGCCCATATAAGCTAAAAAAGCTTCGCAGGCAAAACAATAGGTACATGACTCAATTCCAATGATAACAAGACGACGATTTGAACAAATAAGTAACAAATTTCTAAAATTAGCAAAACCATTGACAAAAGCCTTAAAAACTGGTAACCGTATGTCATAGTAGAAAAGTCAGCAAAAAAGAGGCAATGTCAACATTACACTCAGTAAAACAGAGTACAACTATAAACATCTAGTCAAAATACCTAAAACTTGCATAATAATCGAAGTCAAATTAATACTGGTTGAGGATAAAATCACGGTACCGGTATTTTATTTTTAAAAACATTTTAGAGCAATCTTGTTTGAACTCATCGGGCAATTCGTTAAAATATTTGACACAATTAAAAACGGTACCGCTTTTTTTTATGTCTAAACGAACGGGTGGTAGGTTAAATCGAACGCCCCTGGTGTTGTGAGAATTTTGGGGAACAAGAGGAGCGAAAGCAGTTTTAAAAAGACGCTCATCATGGCAAAGTGCTCTATTCATGAACTTTAAAAGTTGAAATCTTAACATATCGTCAAGTTTTAAAATTTTCGACCGCCTATATAATTCGTTAGTGCATATCAAAGGAATATTATTATCGTCATACCTAACCCTAAGCATAGAACGTAAGTAATGAACGAGCATAGAACGATTTATTAAGTAATGTGATGACCCGTTTTTTTGTATTGAAAGGTACACCACCCCAGATTACTAAAGTGCTTGATAGTTTAGATAAAGACAATGCGTAAGAAAGCGTTTTAATAGAATAGAATAGAAGTGTCGGCGTTGAAGACATAGGCCCATGGCCTGTTGCCGATTCTTGAACTTTTCGTGACTTGATTCACAAGGGATCCGGCCTTTGGAACCCGATCTTTCCATAACTGACGATTGATTGAGATAGCTGCTGGACTTATTG